ACTGAAAAAATTATGAGCGGTTAGAATTTTCATAAGCAAGTCTAATTTGTTGCTTAAGTTATCTCAGATTTTCTGGAGCGTCAGCCGGCTTTTGAAACAGCGAATCCAAGATTAAGACTCTGTAATTCAAAATGATCACCCACAATTTGTTGCATTCCTCTTAAATTTGCGAGATGACGTCACTGTCTCTATCTTGAAACTCTGCTTAACGACCTGCATTCAGAGTTTTCCCGATGCCAGTCAAAGAGCTTGCTATAGCAGAGTTGCACAGAATATCAAATTAGTTAATCATAATCTGTGATGCTAACTTTCATTACCTTCTGTCATGTTTTGTTTAAATGCTAAATTCGAATTTCTGATTTAGCTAATTGGATTGGCCGTGCTGCTAATTGGTTTCTGGGCTCAGCTGGAAAAAAATCCTTTCAGCCAGCTCGGCAGTCGCATGTCGAAATTCTACCTCGATCCTGCTTGGATTCTTATAATTGTTGGCGCTGTGACTTTTATCATAGGATTCAGCGGCTGCGTTGGTGCCTTACGCGAAAATACATGTCTTTTAGCCAGCGTATGTTAATTTCTGCAGCACAGTATGACGTTCTAAGGCAAATCTTTAGTACTCAGTATTGCTTTCTGTCCTGCTGATGGCTGAACTATCTGTCGGTATCCTCGGCTTTGTTTTCAGTGACTGGGTAAATGTTAAATATTTTTTTATGTGATTAAGCGAATTGATTTTTTAGGTGAAACAACAGCTGGAAGCGGAACTTGATGATATGATAATATACTACAGAGACGATCCTGATCTTCAGGGCGTTATAGATTGGATTCAGATGGATTGGGTAATTCTTTTTCTTTTCCAGATTGTCTTTAAACGTAATTTGGGTTAGGGCAGATAAAATTTGTTTTCACTAACGAAAAGGCATTGATGATCAAGAGTTTGGAATATTTTCAGAACGCCACGAAGATGTGCTTGTAGCTTAGTGTGGTAATGTGGTTTGAAAATCTGATGTAAATTGGTTGTGAACTGTTGTCACATGACAGTTGTTGTAGATGTTTTGGAATACAGTATAAAACTTGAAAACAGACATTGCCAGTATAATCTTTGACGTAGTAAGGAACAACGCCTGGTTCTAGTCTGGCATAACTAATCCGGGAAGCCCTACTTTTCTAAATCATTTCGCATGAAGATTATCACAACTTATGTAACAGAGAAGCAGATTCAGCAGTTCGCTTAATTTCAAAGGGTAGAATTTGCAGGTGGCTGCGTCATAACTCTTCACTATCGTTAATGGCTTCCTTTTTTAATTCAGACAGTTCTGAATCGCATAGCAAATATCATCTATTACTGCGCATGTTACTTGGAAGTGGACTACTATACATCACTTAATTCTGGTTGGCAGCACGATAAAGTACAAAAATAATTTTTATTTAGCACTGTTCAAACGTTTTATTCAAATTGGTATAGGTCGTCATGAGGGTACAAAAGTTAGTATTCTCAGAAATCGTTCTGCAGTGATGCCGGATAAGCATTCGACCGAAACGTTATGGCCTCGTTAATAAAAGTTATTCATATTTAACATGCTGTTGATCACTGGATCAAGATTTGTGCCCATTTCCACTTATCCGCAACAGAGTAGTATGAGTTTAAGAAGTTTTTTTTAGAATTAGCACGGGTTTGGAGTTTTTGGTTCTGAGTTGGAATTTTAACAAATCACAAATTTATGCTTATTTTCCTGCTGTGAAAACCTCGACCAATGTTTTCTTGTCGTTGTAAGAAACATATCGAAAGAAGAGCTACTTTTAAACTCATAGCACTAATCTTTGATAGATGAAAGTTAGTATGCTGAGTGGAAATCAAACCCTTGTGCGACTTTCTGTTGTTTCTGTTTATAAGTAATTTTTTCCTTTTCCTCAAGTTTGGATCATTTTAGTGTTGCATATTTCTCAGTTACATTTAATCAAAGCCTAAAACGGTTTCTTCATATGCGTTCGTTTACCAGCGCCCCTTGAAACTAAATATATGTTAAGAATTAGCGCAAGTAAGAATTTTTTAAAATAATCACATTGATCTGAAGCACTTCTATACAATAACACAGCGCGAGTATGCAATGAAACAATACGGTAGCGTGATCAACAGTACCTAAGTCAATGACGTCTTTTTTTGCTAGCGAAAATATCTTTGTTGCTGTTTGAGTTGAAACCTTTTGCATATTTTTAGCTTCATTGCTGCGGAATCCATGGACCCGACGATTGGGATATGAATATATACTTTAACAGTTCTTCAGAGGCACTGGGAAGTCCTGAAGCAGGCGGTGTTCCTTTCTCTTGCTGTATTTACGCAAAGATGAATGGCCTAATTAATTACTTTTGCGGTCATCGTGCACGAAGAAAACCAATTGTAACCGGATTTTTATTTATCATCTTTTTCTCAACTAGGCAAATTTTAGCCCAGCGATATTATATACAACAACGGTTGCTTAGACCGTGCCACGGATTGGTTTAAGAAAAATCTGATCGTTGTTGGATCGCTTGCGGTGGGCCTAGCTGTTTTAGAGGTATTTTCTTATTAATGATCATTTTGCTAAAATTTTTGACTTATTGTAAATAAGCTAAGCTTAACAGTTACAAGACTGCTTTATTCCGCGGAACACGTCACACCGTCAATCTCGTTGCCACAAGCCTTTTAAAAAATATCGTAGGATATGCTTCTGTAGCCAAGCTGTCCTTTACGTTGAAAGGTTACTTCTCTCGCTATGCAATTAGTGTATTTTGTTGTTGATCGATCACCCCGTAGAAATTTCCAAAAGTCATAAAAGGGATATCGATGCTGACGTGACAGATTGCAATAATTTTGCTATTCAACGCATATTCAGTTTCATAGGTCAAGAGTATATGACATCACTGAGCAGAAGAATCGTACATCTTTTTGATGATTGGCCGCTTCTGATTCTGCACGACGGGCTTCAGAAATTGGCGTCATTCATGGGACGGAATCTATATCTGAAGAGAACTACTGTGTCGTCATGTCCAGGTGTTTAGTTACCGTATCCTGAGTTGCTCTGGGCACTAACTAAGTTATGGATTCAATTACTCCTTTCACTTCAGTAAGCGACTATATTAATAAAAGCCGCTATATTGCTTCAGCCGAATATATCAATAAAAAACTTTCGACCCGCTCCTTGCAAATCCGACCGGGAGAAGGCCCAGGGAACGGCCAAGATTAACCTTGTGCAAATGTATGGAAGGAGTCTGTTCCAGATTCCATTTGTTTTTTTTGCCGAAGTTCAGACTCTGGCACAGGATCGAAAACGTTGGAAACTCTCACTCTCTGTCTGCCTCCGCGATCCGAAAGGAGAAGCGGCGATGAAAGATGAAGATGATGAAGTTTCGATCCTTCAGCCAACTATTCTTAGATGATCTTTCCTGTGACGTGTTTAAAATACATTTATAGTCAAAACGTACTTTGACAGTTTAAAACGGTTTAAATTAATAGGGTTTAATTTTTATCTGAGAATTTTTTAAGTTTGTATTGTTGTTTTTGTAATAGCTGTTTTGGATTTTAAAGATGTAGCAGAGAGGTTTTTTGAAGTTTCATGCAAATATAATCTTTTTTGTTTTAAGATTACTACTTGATGTTTAAGGTTCTTGGAATGTGTTGTTCTCAAAGTTTACGCAGTGATATTTTTGCTCAAAGAGCGAGATGGTATCGGTATCGCTGAACGACGGAAAACTAGAACATGAACATTGTTCGAAGTGTCGCATTGAAAGTACCTGCATTATACGATTATATGATTTTGTTACTATTCGATTATCTTTTCACCAAAGAATTTATACTATTTCGTTGCGCTCTAAACGACGACTCGTTTTGTTTACAGTTCTAGGCTGAACTGCAAGTTTCGAATTTGCCGTTTGCTATTTTTAGTACATTTATGTTGCCTTCTTTGGTTTTGTATTTTTTCGGCGTTGAGGTTTTTCGCATTTCGGTAGAAGTATATTAGGCTACTGATTTATCCTATTGAAATTGGATTAAGAATAAAACTCGTTTTAATTCTTTTTTTCCAGGAAGAATGGCATTTCTTTACCTCGTTTATTAGGAGCTACCGTAATTGTCTGAATAATTTTCATTTATTAAATTTAAGTCAGAAAATTTGTTCATGATGGTCGCAGTTTAGTTAAAGCACAGCTTGAATTATTAAATGACGAATGGTTGGTTGTCACGTGTTTTCTGTGATTTTTCGAACAACTGAAAGAGTCAAGCAGTGCTAATTTACACTCCATTAGTGGTAGGTTTAGGCAAATGAAACAGTATGGTTTCAAAATTGCCACATCTGAACCGTAAAGGTATTCTTATAAGCAGAAACGTTATTAACTTTAATTTGGGAGGCACTGTTTTAACATATTTGGCTTCTATGTTTTTGTTTCAAAAGTAGGGTGAGAGAAACAGGATCGTTCAACTACTTAAAATTGTACATTTCTTTGTTAAGTAATTAAAAATCCCATTAATCAGCGCACCAATGATGAAAGTCAAGGGTAACTGAAATTACTGTTCGTACTGGTTTCGATGATTTGTGACAAAATATATTTGAAAAAGTCCTTGCAATACGTTACATTTTCATATAATAAAATATACATATTTCCTGTTCTCGGCTGATGTATAAGGCTCTTTGATTGATCAGGATCTAATCACTGAGTATTCAGTGAGTAAATTTCTTCAACGTGTCTTTGGCATTCTTGATCATTGCTTTTCAGCAGGTTTGAACAATAGTCATAGTTAGCGTTACAAAGGATAGCGTAAGACTACATTTTAAAGTGTTCGTGCAAGTTAATGTTTGATTTTAACTTATTTAATTTTTAGCTATTTTCTGACACTGAATCTGACAAAAAATAAAATTATACAGTTGACAGGTACAAATCCATAATTCTTAAACATATGCCATTCTGACGTGCGTTTGTTCTCCTCCGTTACCACCACGATGGTGGTAGTTTGTGCCATTGACGTGGCCAAAGGGCGCAATTTCTAGTTCACCATAATCAGTTTTGGACGAATGACAGTTGCACGGATGAATGAGGAGCAGTCGAAACATTCTGCGGAATTTGTGACTGAAGTGAGCGTAGAATATCGGGTTGATGCAACTGTTTGACAGACTCAGCCACTGAAACAGTGGCCTTAAAACGAGGTACAGTACTTGGCCTACGGTATTCTCCATTTGTGGTTCGTATATATAGAAGTAGAGAAAGAGCAGATACAAGGGAAGCCAAGACATGGCGAACCCAATGACCACGGTGATCATCATCTGGGTGATTTTTGTTTTAGTCCTATTTCCTCTACTTTTCGCCTGCCTGTCCACAGCCATTGGTCGAAGCTTTTTGACCGTTATGTAGATATACATATAGCATGCGGTAATAGCAGTCAGAGGAATGAAGAATGCAATCAGCAAGTTGACAATTACAAAAAATAACTTTTCGCTGTTTCTGGTTGGAAAATGCGGAACGCATACTCTTGCTGTGGTGACGTCATCAACTTGAAACTTGACTTCTTTAAAGTACAGTAGCCAAGGAACAAATAATGCGCAAGAGACGACCCAAATCGGAAGAATAATATACAAAACTTTTCTTTTTTCCAGAAGGTTGTAATGCATTGGACGGCAAATTGCAAAATATCTAAAAACCAATCATATCAAAAATTCTTTGATACTATTCGAAAAGAGCTAACATAAAGGAAACCACATTATTATAAAGAAATAATCTATCATGTACCTCTGCTTGATGGAGCAAGGTAAAATCAAAAATTTTTTTCAGACTGGAAGACAGAAGACTAATGAGTTCCTTGATGTCAGTAAACCTTTTCTTTCTAGCATACCATAGAGGCTCAGAAATTTAACCAGAAAGTTTTCCAATTGCGTTTTCATAGTTTATATATCTGCTGCTGCAGTTCTGCAGCAGAAAATTATGAAGTTGCAGCTACAAACTAATTGGGTCATCAGTGACAGAGTCGACGAAAATTATTTTGGTAATCACTGGAATTCCTTGATGTGGTACCATTTCTCTTTCCTTGGTACAGGCTCTATCCTTTCATAGAACTTGTGAATGTTGCGTCATTTTCATCTTCTCTGCGAAAATCCCGGGAAGCCTAGATGCCTTTCATTTCAAGACTACATTTGTCGCTAGCTACCACTGTGGCTTGCTATTACAGCTTGCTTCGGTGAAACCAGCCGAAGAAATCATGGCAGGATGGTACTTTAGTGCCAAAACATGTAAAACACAGGGATATGCTATCAGGTGCGTTCGCTTAGCGGCAGCAATTCACCTTGATCCTTAATCCATCCAATAGCTGATTGAAACTCAGCACAATGTGTAAACGTAAATTTAAAAATTTAGAAAAAATTTATGTATTTTACATTACATCTCTCTACCACGTAAAAACGAAGACAATTGACCTAACCAGGACTAGAACCTTCAATCTGTTGAACTTGACTCCGATATCCTAATCTTACCGAGTTGTGTAATTGGCAAGCATATGTGTCAATCATGTTATAACACGCAGAGAGTTAGGGATAATCTTTTAATTGGTTATCTTCATGTTGATAAATTCATATTGAATTGAAAGGACAGCTTTTGACTGTCGTTGAAGCTGCGACCAATGATGACTACGATGATCCGAATGATATGCAAAATAGAAGCCTAATCAGAAGTAGTTAATTATCAACGCTTTCAGTTCGTTTTCGTTTAATCATGATTTAGTTGTGTTTGACAATAAAAACTACCTCATTGGAAATCAAGCCAATAATCAAGAAAAATTCAAAAGCAATATACAGGCGCTTAAGGTAATAGACTAAGATAAAACGCGGTTGGAAGCCTGGAAAAATTTATTCCAGACTTTGACCTTGTTTATTCTTAAAAAGTATACCTGTTAAGGAATTTTTGTTCGAAAATTAAACAGCAGGCCGGTTACATATAAGATTTTTGGCTTATGAAAAAGAGAAATCGAAAATCGATTAGTTAAGATATGAGATATGAATACCTGTCTCCCGTTACCGCAACCAATGTGTATACTGAAGCGCAGACTGTTGTTCCATTAATCCACACTGATAGCTTGCACGGAAAGTTTCCAAGGTACCACTCTAGAAAGTTTATTAGACAGCATGTTTGAAAACTGGAATTGTTTTACAGTAAACACCAGCACATCTCTGATTCGTTCGAAATCGGAAGAAAATTACTGACAAAATTTGATAAATTCATTAGTACAAAATACAAATGGCCCCTTGGTGACTAGTAGCAGGTGGTATTGTTGCAGTACAACTTAGTCTTAAGGCTTCTATCGGTTTTACACTACCCAGCATCCGTGTAAAGTAGGGGAAAAATATACTGTCTTTACACGAAAAGTTTTCATAGCATAAATCCGGCATCAGTATTTGAAATCTAATTTTTACCTACAGCATTGAAAACCCTAATTCTCGTAAAAGCCACCCCAGAACATCCAAAACATCGCGATTTTACTTTGTTACAGTTCGTTTGAAAGCCATAAACTCTAAGATAAAGGAATTTTCGCAAGTGGTGAGCAAATTTCCACTTTGATTAGTGAGCATTTACGCTGAAAATGCCTACATAGCGCCAAATTTAACATAAAATAAGTCAAATTTATAAGTTTCGGTTGGGTAACGAACTCTCTCCCAGTCAACTTTGTCCTGGAAAAGTCACGATCGGAAATGAGTTGCCAATAATTGATACTGAAAAACATGCCAGTAAAAAACATTTGCAGAGATTTAAACAAAAGGACATGGCTTAAAGGTTAGTGCGTGATACTAATGTTTTCCAGTGGCACAAATCTGCTACGGAGTTATGTTAGATAAAATGTGTCAAATGCAAAATTTCAAACATTATGAGTCATGCCCGGTTTGTTTTTTTAAAAAAAAACTAAAATTATGCAAAACACTAATAATATCTAAATTCAAATGGTAAATCAGTGTACTTTATAAAGATTTTGGTCATTGCATAAGAAATTTGACAGTGCTGAAAGTTGTTCAGTTTACACTTTGAATCTATAATCATGTCCGTTTTAGGAAATGAACACGAAAACTGAACCATCAGGGAAATTAAGGGCAATTTTGCTGAAATACTCGAGGTGCAATGTTTCAGACAGACACGTACCAAGAACCTTTTGCACTAGTCTAGTAACCAAGCATTAGATTTAGAAGTAACTTTAAGCTAAAAAAGCAGACAGACCAAAAATGATTAACATTTAGGTTTTTTGAATAAATTTTACTGAATAAATTTATTTTATTTTGAATTTACATCATCGATCTTGACTGTCCATTACAAATGATACATGCCACAATTGCTGTGTTCCCTTCAGCTCTGGCCAAGCGACTCATACAGACTCAAGAAAACGATTTACATTCATGGAGCCTCAACCAAACTGAAGGCTATTCAAGAAGGATTTCAGGATAAATAAACAACTCTCTGGCTCAATTTTGCCTGACTGTGTCAAACCTCGCGAAGCGATTGAAGAGTTTGCAATTTTCGCAAACTATGTCCAGTTTCAAACCATGGATGAGATGTTATAGACGCTTTCTTTCATCGTAATGAAACACATCATGAAATTGACCCTGCAAATATAGAGGTTGCAGAACTGATACAGTTTACCAAAGACAGAGCATGAAATTGTTTGAGGAGTATCAATGGCTTTTCATCTACTGGGCCAGATGGATTGAGGTAATGAATACTAAAGAACTGAGCCATTTAAATTTGTCAAGTATTCAACAAAATACTTTCCTGTTGTATTCCTAAAGTATGGCAAAAGATTTGGATTGCTCCAATCCCACAATGACTCAGCCACGATTGCCGTTCAGGAGTTTGAAGACATAACTCATTTCAATAATAACGCCAAGAAGTCGTAGTTTGGCCAATACAATCGCACTTGAGCCGATTTCGTGCCAATCAAAGTATGTGGCGCTTCATCACGCTCGTTTTAAATACAAAGTAGTTTTAAACGTAGGTTAAGATCCAATATTCGCCAGAAGCGAGCTGTTCAGTCAAGTAGCGTCAAGTAGCCATGAGGTAATTTGTTTATGCAACTGGAAAATGATGCTGCAAGCTTTGCTCAGAAAGTAAGTGAAGTTGCGTCGTTTCTCCGGCAGTTAAGACAAGTTCAGGCCCGTCAAAGGTTCTGAAATCTTTCACGAGAAATTGCGTATGGTGTCTAAGGTAATTTAAACTTACTTCCGTAACTTGACTCAGAAGGAGTAGTCCATGTTTCTGGAGCTATGAAAATAGTGGCTTTGTTGAAGATCTACACCCAAAGGAAAAGATGGATATTAGTGCTAGAAAAGTGGTTGAATCAGCGGCTTCACTTGACGTAAAGGTATTTAACGATTTAAAACATTCCACGCATGGAGCTCTAGCAGAATGTGGGTAAAAGCTACAGTAAACTAGAAACCAATTCAGACCTGCTTTCTGTCGTACGGAAACTTACAGACGATCGATTCTATCCTTTATCGTCATATGCTTATTGAACGTTTAGCGTGAGCATGCGGAGATTCTCCGACAACTGAATGCTCAAATGCCTATCACTAAGTGAAACGTACCCGCCGTTTCTCTGTATATGTTTTTACTGTTTTGCTCTTCATGCACTCCCAGGACAACATAATTTACTTGACTCATGAGGTGAATAATATTGAATTGAATTGAACCCGTCGGGTCACTGACTAAAACACTGTAAAGTTGGTTAAAAAATACCGTGACTGCACGAAGAGGTAAAACTCGCATGCGGCGCTTAATAAAAGCACAAGAAGATGAAATAGCTCCCAAGCTCTTTTCATCACATGAAGTCAGATGTGCTCAGCTGCTGCTACGGGCATTTTGGGCGCAATGTTGACAATTCAGGTGTCAGTTCAGTTCGAACTTATGAGCTTCCCGTCGGTTGGACAAGATTTTTGTCTTTAAGATTGTACAGTTTTTCTCAAAATCTTGTGACTTTCATCCAGTGGTCAGCTACGCCAGTTTTGCTCTCAATTATTGCAACAGTTTGAATCAAATTTGTTTCCACGGCTACTCGTGTGCTATGTAATCTACGCATTGTTTCCTTAAATATTTTCTGAAAATCACCATCACTTGCTGTTTTTGGGCAAGCACTATACTTTCAACTTTTGAAATCTATCATGAAAGCGAATCAACTTTCGATAAAACTTTCTTCACATGTGCCACAAAACTGCATTCTTTGAATGGACACAGTAAACGGTAAGTAGAAACCTACTTGAGTACTGCCAGATACAGTTACTTGAAAACCAACAGTTCTTGAGTTTGAGTGTAACGAGATAAAATCGATCATAACGGAGTTCGCTGTAAGCATTTGCACGCGAACATGGTCCTACATGCCAATTTAGAAACGGGAGCAATGATCAAAGGTAATATCTTGCCAAAAAGAAACGTGATGGAATATATTTTTCATAATCGTATCAACAATTTTGGTAGCTTGCCTTAAACCATGCAAATTTTTATAGAGGAAAGATACTCCAATTGCAAATCAAGAATCAGGTATTGTAGTTAATGTCTTTGCTCGCCCTAGATGAGTGCTTGATGACAATATTTTCCATCTGTTGTCTGAACGGAGATTAAAGATTATGCTGCCTGGAAAACTGAAGCAAATAAGAGGCATACATATTGTTTCGTTGGTGCATAATCGCATATTTGCTACTGCTGCTGCTGATCATCAACGCAGGCATAAGCTTCGTTTTACAGAAGGCCGTGACAGATAATCATGCTCATTTAATATTTTTTAGTTCTGTTAACCTGGCGGATGATATCTTGCAAAGGTAAGTTAGATTTTAAGAGCAATGCAACTTTAAAGCTTATTACATGGGATAATTTGCAGTTCATCTCTGTCGGCCAACAGACCTTGTACTCGGATAAGTGCATGTAGATGAACTGTTTGACATCGACTGATCTGTTCTTGCATCAGTCGTTCGTTAAGTTCTTTAATTGGGATACCAATTGATTAACCTCATTTTCAATGATATTAGCAGCCTTATGAGGAAGGAGCTCTTTTATGGACAAAGTTCTCCGCGTCTGCTTGAGAAGCGCAGTTCGCCCGTTTTTATCGTCTTTGTATGACTTATGCTTCATGATTGTACCCTTAATCTTTGTATACTAATTGGGTTTTGCCTGTTTGGCTCTTGACAGGTTCAATCAATGTGACATGTTTCAAGACGCGTGTGCAAGCAATAAGGCCGAAGCACATCCAACGAAGAAAATCAGTTATCTTTTACAAAGTTCTTGACATAAATTCCTCACAATTCTGCACTGTGTCATATTCGCTGAATTCGAATTATTGCTGATACGTTTAAAGGAATGCGACGTCCGTCGAAATGTGGGAGGGGGAGGATAACGTTATGTGAATTTAAATTCATCTCAACAGGCACCGGAATTAGAGACTCGTTACCATCTTATAAATGAAAGACTAATTTAGAGCTTTACCAAATCAATAGAAAGGAAGTGGCAATTCTTGAAAAAAAGCTAATCTATTCGAGGAACAGATCTCATCAGCATTGAAGATCAACACTTTTTACAAATTTTCTTTCAATGCATCCTTCAGGGCTTGAAATGGGGCAGAATTTTCTTTTATCTCTATCGCTAGAGAAATTTTATTAATTACAATGCAGCTCTATCTTTTTAATTTGACTATACTCCATTGTGCATATTACGATCAATCTTGAGTAATAGTCTATCATCTGTCATTAATGAATCTTATATTAGAGATTTAAGAGCAAAATTCATTTTTGAAACTAATAATGGTAAAGCGAGAGCCTGATCCATTACACGAGTGGAGCCTGGCTTCATTTTTCATGACAAGTGTAAGAGTTGAAATATAAGTTACTTTCATTACACATAGTTAGATTAGTTACACCGAGATAGAGACGAAGACCATGACAGTTTCTGAGGCATCCCCTTCCCTTCGACTTAGGAACAAAAGTTTATTCAATCATTTATGCCAGTCAACAGATTTATGCAGAAATATCAGCAGAAATCCTTGTCTTGCTAATCATTAATGTGAACCATATTGCTTGTGGTTAAATCTGATAATTTACAAAGTTTGAAAGTGAGCAGAGTTTGTTTAAATATATATAAACGTCCATCAAATTCAAAGGA